CCGATTGCTAAATCGCTCGGGATATATAGAACGATATATCGAACAACCAGTCGAGATGAGAATTTTCTTGGCTCTTCGCTCCAGTGTTTAGCTCGGTGGGATTATGTTACTCTAGATCTTTGTTACAGTGACCTGAGATCGTAAAATACGCTACACCGAGTGATGCAATTGGGTAATGCAATCTTAAAGGGAGTCAGGATTTTTCCCATGCGCAAAATAAATTCCCCGCACTAGATTTTTCAACGGTTGGAAAATCGACATTTTCATTAAATCAAATTAAAAAATTATTTGTGAATTATTTTATTAATTTAATTGGAAGATTTTACTGAATATAATTTAGACAAAATAAATGAATAAAGGATTTTTTCGCTGTATGCCGGATTTTTAAATGGGAATCTGTTGTAATTATATTAATTACGAACTTATGATGATAGCCATTGATTTTCTGTGCGGGCGCGGAATCGATAATTTCTTTCGATCGTAGTCTCTGATTTTTCATGGATAAAAATTGAACCCGCGCCAAACTCTATCGCTCACATGATCTCAACTTCAACAATAATCGTGGGTGTGAGAAATTATTACATGCGGGAAATGTCATGCGGGCGTAACGGAGAATAAATTGATAGTCATCTCTGGTCGATCATTCACTTTCCGATGGATTTCAATGACTCGAAGAAACTTCGAAATGCACCAACGAAAATTCGATAAACCTATCAATTTAATTCTCCATTTTCTCCACAACAATATTCTTAAACATTCGTCCTATTTTCCTTTAAAAATTGTTAATCTTCAATTTTTTTTTTTGATTATAAAAATTTCGGAACCTAAAAATCGAAAATCGCGAGCGACAACTCGAGATTTTTTTTTTTTTTAAATGGGTTTAGGATTTTGAGGATTGCAGGGACGTCTTCTGGAGGAGTAAAAAATGAATTTCTCAGTGACTTTCTCTCCCTTCGTAATGATTACTCATTAACCTTTAATCAATGAACAACAAATTGAATACCGTATATTACGGAGAGATAGAAACCGTAAATGGACGCAACACCGTCGTAAAACTAAATTACCCAAGATAATTACAGAATAATGGATTTAATGCTTCATTACTCTCGTTTCATGTACAAGATGAAAGACCTCCCCCTCATTCATCATAAGTCTGTTTTTTTTTTACGAGCCCGGTTACACCATCAGACAACGAGAATGTCTTTGGTTTGTCTGCAGTTCACAGCGAAAAAATGAAATATATAAGAACAAAGAGGAACTCAGCACATGCCATGAGTTGAAAAATTGCTAATTAAATCAGCATATCCCAAATAAATTCGTTGGAAAAAATTTTTCTCCAGTCGGCGTTGAAAAAACGAAAGACTTCTATTTACAAATAACTCTCAATTGTCGACAACAATTAATTACAATGATTGATGACATTAAATAATTGGGTAGTAAAGATTTAATTATACCCTGTGCGCAGGGATAAATGATTTCTGACGACAAGACAAGTTGAGTGAAAAATACGGGGAAAAATTTCTTTTTTATCGCAATCATCAAATTTTTCTTTTATTTTACTTTTATTTTTTTTTTACTTTTATTCTATTTTATTATTTCTTTTACTTTTATTTTCATTCGTCAATTCAATCGATTGTCGCGATGAATTGTCAATTTTTTTGAATTTTCAGGATAAACTCATGTAATTGAATATTCAGGGGACTTTGTGACTGGAGTTTTAAAAGATTTTTCACATGCATGACTCACCGGAATCTGCAGAAAGGTTCCGTTGTTGAGTTGAGGGTATGAGTAGAGGGGGACGACAGGTACCGATCCATTTTTCAGGTAAATAGGCCCTTGGATGGGGGTGACACGTGCATTGTTGGGGATATTTTCGTCGTAGTAGTCCTCCACGTCGGTCTCGTCGTCCTCGTCCTCGTCGTAATCCAATATCGCGTGCACCGATGTTTTGGCACCTGGACCCGCGTAGGCGCCGCCATTCACTCGTATAAATCTTCATAAAAAAAAAACGAAGGGTTCAAACAAAACTGTGTCATCTAACAAATCGAAATTGTTAATTGTTATTTTCTTTTAGCAAAAACAGCTTGAATTGTGGGAAAAAATTGACGATTCCGTAATCGAGGTGGTTTTATATAATTATAAATTCATTGCAATGACTATTTTTATTGACAATAATTTTTTATTCACAGCGAATGCATTCTTTCGGTTATTATCATGAAGTTGAATCTCCAAAAAGATGATACATGGTTCACGGTACCGCTGTTAAATCTCTCAAGTACGTTCAATTAACCCAGAGTGCATAAACCACCGGGCACTCATCGCTTTCGCTCGGAATTCCAGAGTGTATCACCTTTTACCTCTCAAACAAAACCACTGAGATACACTGGAAAGAAAAATAAAACCGAAAATAACAGCGGGCATAAACCCCGGAACAAAAAGCCGAAAAAAAAAAGGTCGCATGGAAATGAGACGAGTTTCGGTTTTTTTTTCCCTCCATCTCGATCAGGTTTCACGTTCGTAAAATCGAATTGCCAAACCGCGACTTTCGAATATACGTCACGTCTTATCTTCCTCCAAAATACAAATTTTTCTCGTCAGGTATAAATCGATGGGGCAGAAGGTGTTAGAAATTTTGGAAGTCAGATAAATTCTGAAAGAATATTTTCGCAGCGAATCAAAAATTCTCGATACTGGATATTTTTTATCGAAATAAAAATTCCCTCGGGGTGCCTGATCAGGTACCCGGAAATGAGATTCTCCGTCAGGCCTAAAGGGAATAAAATATACGAACTGGAAATAAAAATACAAAAGAAGAAAGAAAAATTGAAAATCCTCACCCATCAGGTCGTTCAGGATAAACTTCTTGTCCTCGCGGTCCAGCAGGATGTTCCTGTGGCACCCTGGAGGTCTCCCTAACAGGTCCTTTGACAGGTGGAGGTCTCACTTCCGGGTGAGGCATCGCCCTCGGCTGATGCCTGGCGGATGCTGTTTGAGTCTGTCTGAAATCTTGACGAAAGCTGTACCCGTCGTCCTGGGAGCTCTCGACCTGATGGTGCACCTGACCCCTGAACTGCTGCTGGGGTGCCTGTTTGTAGTACTGTCTCAGGTGGTCCTGCTGATCCTGCTGATGATAAGCAGCTGGAGGGATGTAGGGCTCATTCTGATAACGTCTCTCTCCTCTAAAATTATCACCTGGAGGCACTCCATTCAGGCCCAAGTGATTGACTGGTGTTTGCTGAGTCGGGGGAGGGTACATGTAGGGGGCAGGTGTTGCCAGTTGAAATGGAAGACTGAAGTTGGCGAGAGACATCTCTGCATCGACTAGATCCCCTAATCACTTGATCAATCAAAACACTTGATCGATTTCTGTAATGAAGTAGTAAAAATGGATAAGTCTGACTTTTCCATTTTTATTTTTTCGGAATATCTCCCAAAGTAAGGGGGATAATGAAAATTTCGTTAGGACCTTCTCTGCAGAGCTAATTGAGAACTACAAAAAAGGTCATTATAAAAATTCCGTTATCTCCCTCAGTTTCGGAAATATTTACAAAAAAATCAACGGACTCACCTTTTTTTACCACTTTGCTACGAATTTCAATTACTCACTATTTTTTCCACCATATCCCACTCCATTTCAAAAATCACTGGGAATTTTTATCACCCAGTCGGCGATCCTGAGGGTTTCTTAACGGATTTACTTCGAGGTTCGCAATGCATTGTTTTTTTTATTTCTTGAAGCAGTGAAGATTAATTCCAAACGGCCGGAGATTTATCCTAAATTATCTGGCAAAGAAGATTTTTATTTTAATCGTCAAACCATTTATTGAAAATTCAAAATTTCGGGTTTGGCACAGATTTCAGAATTACAGAAAAAAAGAATTAATTCCAGTAATTCGTGAAGGTAACATGAGGGAGATAACGCAATTTAGTAATGACCTTTTTTAAGTTCTACAAAGATATCTCCAATATCCTGACTGATGAGTGAAATTCCCTCGTTCTATCACTGCACTACAGAATTACCATATGACTCACCGACTAAGGCGAACGTTTCTCCTGTCAAAAGTCAGTCTAATGCGTGACGCAATATTGTAACGTGGTCTCTTCAATTGGTGAAATACATAATACGTGTGGCCTTTGACGATTTTTTTAACTTTAGACCGAGACTCTCACTCTCACGTCTTATTCATGTTTTATTTGGTACCCGGGCCACAGAGTAAGAGGTACTTTCTTTCGGATTTCCACGCCACGAATATCAACGATGCAAGACCATCCCGGAATTACAGCTCGAAACATAAATTCTCATTTCTTCAAATGAAATTACAATCATAATTTTCCCCAAAAACAATGAGAAGACAAATTGAAAGAAAAAATAATTGATCATTGACGATTATCATTGGATGATGGATGAACGTAATTAGTTGATGTCTGAAGAGAATATTGAGGTCGAGAGCAGTCGGAAATAAAATAATTTGACAGAAATACGTCTCGATTTTCGTGCCCTCGGGCTAGGGCCAATTAAATTTTCCATCTTTGTTCTTTTTTTTTTTAATCGGCTACCAAATTACACGTTTGCAAAAACGTCCCCTCGAGTGTTTGGGACTGGCGAAACGATTCGACACCTGCTGTTTCCCGCATTGACACTGTGTACTCGCTAATATGGTTGTAATTAAGTGACTGGTGTAAACGCCCAAGTAATGATACGTCCGACGATCATTGAGACATCCAAGACAAACTTATGCCCCCATTTGTCCCCCCATCTGGATCCAATCAATTGGCCTTGATCGCCCATGCAAGACATGAAAATCCAATTGAAAATCGAATCTAGATTATTAATTAATTTCCTTCTATCAACTGAGAAATTATTTTCAAAGAGCTAATTGACTGGAACTAGTGGAGAATGAGTGGCAAAAAATGAAGGATGAAAGAGGAATCAGGTTCAGTGTAAATATTTTGTTTAAAAAAAAAATTCAGCTGAAAGGCGAACGATTTTCAAAAATAATTTACGAATTCGGGATGTCCACGCAAAGGTCAAGATTTTAAGATAAAGCGAGACGTCTTTTCGTCTTGGAGGCAGACTAAAAAGTGGCTGAAATAAAAAGAATCGTTACTTACCTCGCATCAATAGGATTATTCACTCTGGAAACATTGAGAAGAATTCCAAGGTTCTCTTTCATCCAGAGGTGAAAAGAAAAAAAAATCGATAAATTAAGTGCGACACATTAACACATCCTCTGAGAATTTCTCAGCCACCTGTCACTTGAAAAATGTCAAAAATTGTTGAGCATTCTGTATTTATCCTAAAGAGAATAAGTTTTTTGTTAAAAAAAGAGGAATCGCAGAGTGTGAAGTATGAAAAAAAAAATCGCGGGAATGCGGTTTAGCGAAATAATATCGGAAGATCGGCTTCTACCGATTTCTCGATGACAAATCGATCGATCGATCTTCGCGTATCAAGTGCTCACCGAACTCTGATAAACGTGAGACGTTCGGTTGGCGAACAACTACTGGAGGAACTTTGTTCCAGTCTCTTGTGGTGAGGCGAATGGAATATGTGAGGATTGAAAGAGAAAGAGGGAGAGGACTGTCCCCAGAAGAGAATCATCACTGGAGCTCTCACTCTCAGTCATTTCATCGATCTCTCTGGGAGATGTTAGAAATTTGTTCAAATTCCCCCGATAAATCTGAAATAAATCCGATGAAGGAATAAAATTGAAAAATTATTGAGACATTTCGAACGTGATTGATTAATCGAATTGACGTAAAAACCGCGAACGAAAGAGAAAACGCACTCGTCTGTTTGCGAATTTAATTTATTCCCAGCGCAAAAAGAATTAGACGTAAAATAAAAAAGGTGTGTAATGAACAGCTCATCGTCGGCTTTCCCACTGACTGCAATCAGGATGAGGTCAGTGATTTAATCTCGAACCTATGATATTTAATCAAATCGTCGCTCAACCCGAGAGGATATCCGTCACGGCTGTACCTTCCTGGATATAAATACAGAAGCCGATTCCACGATTGTTTTATTACGCATCCGTAATTCATTTGAATAAATGTCAATACCTCGTCGACTCGGTCATAAATTTCTCGGTATTTCCTCACTGTTTCAACAATCCTCAATTATTTAAAAATAGTCGGATGAAATATACCGTCGCAGGAAGAGACGCGGAAGAATATTTATTTGAACAGAAAAAATTCAGAAAAATACAATATGCCTCTTATAATTATTTTCAAAAATCATTGGAAATTGTTTGAATAATATTCACATCTAATTTACATTCTATTTATCAGGGATATTATAATAATTTCACCTGGGCGTTACCCAATTACTGTATCAGTACCTCAACAACTCCCAGACACTCATCAATCACTCGGCAAAAATTCCCTCAAGGCGATTCTAGTTCACCGGAGAAAATAAAAAAAAAACTATCGAATTGTCACGGGTGGACAAACGTGCGTACATGTCCTCGAGGAATTGAAAATACAAACCTTTCAAATTAATAAAAAATCCAAATAGAATGAAGTAGATCCGGTTGCAGGTGAATATAGAGCAGTAAGGCAATCAATTGTTCAATCTGTTTTAAACCGTCTGGTATTTTATGTAGTTGCACTGCCCGATGTTAATTAATTGTTAACCCCGACGTTCGTTGATGTTAAAACAACCGGAACTTGATTGTTCCAGTGAAGAGAAAATAATCGATTTGGTATTAATTTTCGAAAGGAATGACAGTGCAGCAGAAAATTTCGGAGCCGAGTGATAACCAAAGGGAAAATTACAGTAATATCTCTCAAACGAAGAGAGTTACCGAAATTTTTATTATGACGTTTTTTGTAGCCTTTGAGGACTTCTATAGAAAAGATTCTAATAAAAATTTCAGTATATCCCAATTTTTCGGAGTTATTCGCAAAAAACTTCATGAAGAAATTTGGTACGCACTCGATCAGTTTCAATGAATTCCTTCTTTTACGAAAATTACATTTATCTGATAAAATCAATTTTTCCCTCAGTCTGTTCGCCTCGATTTCGTCATTCTAGTTATGTTATCCGGGGTAACGAGTGCCCGAGAAAACCACCTGGTGATTCACTGCACGGGCATTTAAGGATTTTATTTCTCGTTCGACTCTTTATGTCGTGACTGCATTAGGCTTCAGAAATTAAATAAAATTGCTGCCAAGGAACTGTTCTTGAGAGAACAGAATGCCTAAATACCCAGTTTATATTCGTTAGATTAATTACAATTGCCGTAATTTTTCCATTTTTTTTTTTTGCGAAAATATCCATTAAAAATTCACGAAATCGAAATGCGAAGTCGAGGTTTCTAACACCACGTCTTCAATATTTTATTTACACACATTTTCAAACGACTCCATCAAGTACGTGTTATGCATACATATTTATGAAATATTTGAAGCACATTACATAAGATTACAGCTGTTGTGATATTCGACGGTTTCTCGGCGGGAGAATATGCTAATGAGAAGCCCCAACTATGAATCGTACTAAAATACATAAAAGAGTCGATAAATCGTTTTCTTTTATAATTTTTACAATGATTTTTGCTCTACTAATTAAATAATCAAAATTTCGCTATTCCTTTTAAATAAATAGAATAAAATAGATAAATATTCTCAGACAATTTCCACAGTTGAAATGCAAGGACAATAATTCAGAGTTATGGAGTAGAGAAAAAGTATTATTATTTGAAATACTGGTAATTAACTATTTGTATTCTTCGAACTTTTAAGGCCGCTCTAAAAATTCATTCTCGTTATGTTTCCCTTACCTGTTGTCTTGAAGAATAAAATTTCCACGTGCGCTGTTATTAGACCTTCGTGGTTTATATTTTTTCAATGGACTCTTGCGTTTGAAAAAAAATCCTCTGTTAAACAGAATTTTTTATTTAAACACGTGAATAATCTGGGGTGAAAGGAATTTATTGAATTGTCTATATTGATGAAAAATGAATGCATTTGATTTTTATTTTTGTGAACTGTCGATCTATCCATCGATCATTGGCTACAATTTAACATTTTGATGATTAATTACTATCGTACCTCAAATCAATTGATATTCGCGTGATATTTTTGGCAATTGTTATTTTTACATCACACTGGTTTCTTTATCTTAGTCTTTTCGATTTTCTCTGTCAAAGCCAGCGATTGTAATTTTAATTTTTTTGATCAATAAATCACGATCGGTTTACAGATGAATCTCCGTCAATAAAAAATATTCAAATCGTCTCTAATTTGAGTCAAGAAATGGCAATAATTTCCTCCACTCATTATCTTTTCCTCAGTGAACTGTCGATTTCTCGCAATTATAGTCATCAATCTCGTAAATTCGTGATATTTCAGGAATATAATCTAAACTAATTAAAACTAGAACAGTCTTAGGGCGTCAATGCCACTTAACAATAATGAAGAGTCACGGAAAAAAATGTTTATAGATTCAAGGACCGGAATTTTTTGGTTCAATGACTTTTCAAGATTCAGGTATTTTTTTAAGTTAAGAAGAAAATCTCTTAATCGCAGGTAAAAAGATTCTGGAAGCTCGCGCACTGCAATCCCACAAAATCCCCACAAAATATGAAGGAAAAAAAATCATTGGAATGCCTCGACAATCTCCAAATCTCCATCACCAAAGAAAATACAAAAAAATCATAGCAATCAATTTTTGATTCGAAACATTAAAAAATGAACAGATCACCTCAAACCAAAAAAAACGAAAAAGAGAAAAATGATAAACGACGAGTCGAATTTCCCAATTGCATTAATTATGTATTGCCCGCAAAAATTATTAACGCAGGAAAAAAACATGAAGACCTTTTTTATTGGAAATGTAATCATCTCGAAAAAAATCCTTCAGCATTTCCCCCGAAAATCGATAGTTTTCGATATGAATCAGTAAAAAAAAGTTGAATTCGTCTTATCTCACCACTAAGCCATCACGAAAATGATTCCACAATCTGCGAAGGCTATAAATAAAAAAAAAAACCCATAATCTCTCAAAAAAAAAATTCTACTAAGTACAATAAATTAATCCAGCACTCCTGCATGAACAATGTCTTTTTGACGACCGAAAAAAAATGAAGAAAAAAAAAATAATGCCTTTACTCATCACTATCACTCGCATTATATTCTCTGGGCTCGTCTCTGCTCCCCTCGTTACCCCTGTCGGCAGATCCCCACCCAGGAAGCCATCTATTGACAAACCACCACTGATAAGAGAACCTCCCATGACATTCAGGCCTCTCCCCTCTGCTGAACTGGCACAATCCCCCCTGTCCCCTGATACAGGAGTCATCACACGTGTGCTGTCTATCCACAACATTGACATCGCAAACTGAATTGGCAGGGGGTTGGGCCCTGGCCTCTCCCGAGGCTCCAGCCTCACCACTGCCCCCAGGTGATGCCTCAGCCACCTCAGGTGCATCTACTCCTCCGTTTCTCTCAATTCTCCCAACGTAAACACTGGGATTAGCATAAAGTGGATTATTAACTCCACCGATCCTATCGATTCTTCCGATATAAATAGCTGAATTTGATGAGGACAGGAGTCTTCCCCTGCAGCTGCAGTTGCCAGGATTTCTGCACTGACACCTCAGGCTCTCGACCAGTGCTCTACCATTTATTGGAAATCTCCAGGCATACTCACCCCTGCAGAATGCACATCTGCAATTTCTGGATACCTGGTAGATGTAATGCCTGGAGTTGGCAACATAATTACCAGAATTGAAGGAATTGCACTGCTGGCAGATGTGGTATCTGACGAAGGGCAGTCTGATGCAGAACGGGCACATGCACTGGCCAAATTGATGTGCAAAACGTCCGTTAGTTGTCATGGCAACGTTATCAGTGGAGAAGCAGTTTCTGGACAAATTTCCAAGACGATTGAGACAGTTTGAGTTCTGGAAGTAGATGTCCCTGGAGTTTCTCTCAATGGCCAGAACAGGATTTATATTTCTGACAACTTGATTGGCCCTGGTGGGGCGATTATCAATTCTCTCGTACATGTGGTCATTCTGATCATTCCTCCTGACATCGAGCACCTCGTTCACCTCCTCGTCGTTGTCGAGACGCTCGTAGATGTTCTCCTCAGGTTCATTTGGCCTTCGTGGGCGGTTACAATTGCGCACGATATCCACGGGATTTTGGTAATGGGGATTGAGATTTGGGGGACGATTCTGGTAGAGTCTGTGGCTTCTCGGATTTTGATATGTATTATCACCTTCGGGATTTCGATTGTTCAGGGTGGCAACGAGTTCACCGTTCTCGTAACGCTGGCAGACACATCGGGGGCCCTCGCAGTTGTGGCTGGGGTTGACACCGCTGGGCACAGATTCACCAGTGGAATCCTCTGGTGGTCCGTTTGGGGGGTCTTTGGGGTGCCCAGCGGTTTGCAAACCTCATATCGACGTGGGGGCTGTCTGGGGTTTGTCGATTATGGCAACACCAGCATAACTTCGACCAATTGACATCGAACTGGGTAGAGTTGTCCAGGTGTTTGTCCTCGGAGAATAAACCTCCACTGATGACAGATTCGACATTCCATCGTCACCACCCACGACGTACAACTGATTGTTGAGGGTCACAACACCAGCATTTCTCCTGCACAGTGCCATATCCGCGATGGAGGACCACTGATTTGTCTCAGGATTGTACGCCTCCACGCTCTTTCTCACCAGTGGTCCATCGTGCCCACCAACAGCATAGAGTATTCCATCTAGAACTCCAACACCTGCTCCACTCCTTCTTGCTGACATCTCAGCAACTGGCTTCCATTTGTCTTTCTCTGGATTGTAACACTCGACACTTGTCAAACATTGACGTGAGATACCATCGTAACCACCAACGGCATACAGCAATCCCTTCACCACACCAACACCCACTGAGCTTCTTCGTGTGAGCATTGGTGAGATCATTCGCCACTCGTGAGTCCTCGGGTCGTACACTTCGGCTGAATTTAACCCACTTGTGCCATCAAAACCACCCACTGCGTAGATGCAATTACCCAGGACTGCTACACCCAGGGTTGAGCGTCTTGCTTCCATACCTGCACATGCTGACCACTGATCTGCACCACCGTCGTACACGTCCACTGTACGCACCCGGAGGGAACCGTTAAAGCCTCCCACTGCGTAAACACGACCTGCCAGGACTGACAATCCAGCACGACACCTGCGAGTTGGTAAATCAGCGACTTGGTACCACTTCTCCTCCTTGAAATCATAGCACTCGACGCTTCTGATGGCTTTTGGTGCCTGTCCACCGACGACAAGCAGGACCTTGGGCAATCCCCTGGGTTGTCGGGGTTTAGTCCTGGGGGTTTTGAACAGAGACTTCTGCTCGCCCTTGAGCAAATGGTACTTCAGTGCCTCAATTAAAAAATCTTTGCATTGCAAATTCGCCTTGAGGAGTGGCTCCTCCTCTACCCGCTGCACCAGGTACTCCTGGGAGAGGAGTGGGAGTCTCACGTGTTCCATGAGTTGGGCCAAGTGACTCTGACGTGTCTCCATGTCAGAGTGAACCCAGGATATCACGCATTCGAATACTTTCTCCTCTGATGGCACTGTCAGTCGATCGCTGCAGATTAATTTTGCCACTTGCTGGGGGGCTAGAGTCAGGAATTCTTCGCCTTCCACCACTTCACTGCAAATTTCATGATATTCTCGAAAAAAATTTCTTAATTATTGAAGATCTCATTAACTTACGAAAAATGTTGCTCTATGTAGCTGTCGGCGTGTGCTAAAAGCTCCAGACATCCGTGAAGATCAGCAAAAGCTCGAATCCCGAGACAATTTGATGGATGCAGTTGGGCCTGGAGAAAATCACAGCATGCATCCCTCACGTCAGTCAGCTGGAGTAGATTTGCTGCTGGAAGCAACACCTGTACATTCTCCTCGGTGACGTGCACCTCAGCTGTGTATACATAATCAACTAGTAATTCCAAGGCCGCATGATCGACACCTTGGAGTTTTATCCGTCGCTGATCGCGTTCCTCAAAACTTGTGAACATTGCGTAGAAATAGGGACTGCACGCTGCAAGGACCATTTTGTGGGCTGGCACGTCCACACCACCATCGGCCTCCAATATCACGTCGCATAATAAATTTTGTCTGAGTGGAGAGGACAGATATTTTTCAGTGGGAACAGTCCTTCGGATTATTCAAATTATTATTCTAAATAATTCATGAATTTACGACGAGTTTTTGGAAAAGTCCAATCCTCAGGGGTTTTTGTTCCATTTGCAAGTCAATTTTCATTTTCAATTGTAAATGTTGTTATAAGAATTTTTGGAAATCTTAAATAATTCGAATTTGTTATAAATCATATAAAAATAACGTGTGATTTTCTTTTTTGTCGTGATTCTTTCCACAGGCTCAGAAACACTTCTGTGGCTTGACAAATCGGTAGAAAATCAATGAAGCTTCATTAACTTACTTTCTCATTGCATTTATTACGTCGAATGCGCGATTCGTGTGATGATGATTTCTGTATGGCGGTTTGTCCTTGCCACTTTCCCTGGGGATGTGTTTTTGCGAGCTCTCGTCCAGTGAATTTTGACTCGCATAACGGAGCAACAGACAGCTGCACAATTATTATTATTATTAGCGACAGGTTGAGGTGTTTGAATTGAAAATGTCGAAAGTCAATAAAAAAATTAATTCAACTTATTGTTTAATTACTTGTACTCTCCAATTGTGCCAAACTTTTAAGTTAGCAAGAATTAAAAAATACAAAGATGGAATTTTATTCCCGTTGTCGACTGATTTATTCAATTCTATTGCAGATTTTATTTTTTTGATAAGGATAAGTCAATGAATTATGACTTTCCGCTAAAATTTCCCTTTTTTTTAAACAATGAAAATTTAAAATTGAGATTATTTTTGATATAACCTTCCAACATTATCAGCGTTATCTCCACTATTCCCAGGAGGTGGATTCTGCTGTTGTGGATTTTGCAGACCCAGAGGTTCCATTGTTCTCTATCTCCAAAAAATCACTAGAATTATCCCTCAAACGTCAACTGACACTTCAGGTGCTGAACTGTTGATGTTATTGGTGTCAGCTGGCACCTGTCAGTCCGACATTTTCGTATGACCCCCAAGAAAACACTCGCGAGTAATCGATTAACGAGATTAAATAGAGTAATGAAGATAATAACCCATGAAAATTTTCCCGTGAATTTTACCGAAATAATTAACCGAGTCTCACTATGAGTTGATGTATCAAGAAAACGGTCGACGCTGAGTGAAAAATTTTATGAAGCTTCACGTACACCAGGAGTTCTCGGATATCATGGAGACAATCGATCTGGAAGTCGAGGTAACAATCGCACAGATCACGAGAATTTTCAATTTACAGGTTCCTCATGTTTTTTTTTTAATTAAAAAACACATCAGGTACTTGTGACTGTCTCCTGATCTCCCTCTCCACACCTGAAGGCTGTCATTAGTTCAGCCAGCTCAGGAGCTTCAGCTGACAGCTGTCAGATGGAGAACGTAGTACAGCTGTTGAATGGCGCGTCTCGATTCAAATTTTTACCACAAAAATTCGCAGCGATGCGTTAAAACGCTTTGGATATATTGTTAATTAAAAAAATAACAGAATACAAGTGCAGGTATGCATTTTTATTGCAATCATATTGATAGATGTTTCAATTTATTTCAATCTTTTAAACATTTTTCGAGTTATATATATTCCAGAGAAAATACATTACACAATTGAATAATTATAATTTCTCTGAATCGGGTTCAATAATTAATCGTAATTAGGAATCCTTTTTTTCGCCAATTTAATAACCAAAAGGAGTACTTTGCCATTTCTATCTGGAATCAACTGTTTTCGAGATAAGTCGATAATTAAGAATAATGTTTAAATTGAGTTGACAATTTTATAGTTTTATTAAGATCTTCTGGGGTAGCAAAGCATTTGGGTGCACATGGGCATATCACGAGCGGCGCAGATGCAAGTATTGCAGCCATCAGAGTATGAACGTCCTGGTTCACATGTTCCGTCTGCGTTCACTGAAATTCAAGTCAATAATAGCGGAAGGATATTTTTAAAACTCTTAAATTGTTAAAAATTCATTGAAAATATGGAAATACGTACAAGGCTCCAACTGTACAGTCGCTGCGGTGATGACTAGAAAATTAAATAAAAATTCGACTTTTTTAACGTTCTGATAATAGGAAATCTACAATAATATTTTTTCACCTTTTACGGTTTCGATGTTCTTGTAATAGAATTTGTTAGTTTAACTAGTTGCTGGTAACGTTAGATTGATTAAATTAATCAATTACTAGCGAGGAGTTATTATTGATGTGGGAATGACTCACCGGTAAAAAGAACTGCGAAGATGATGAATTTCCACAACATTTTTGAATAAATTGTCGGATTTCTACTGATGTGTTCAACTTACTGAAGACGAGATTAGACTGATGATGTGCTTGTAAAATCTGGCTTAAATACTCAAAAATTTTGATGTTATCGTGGAATTTTCCTGACGTATTCGATTTGCCGAAGGCAACATTAGACTAATACCGCCCCCATTTTACTGAATTTCCGAAAACAGTTTTGTTATCTACGGATAACAACCAATCAGTCGTCCAAGAATTATCTATTCCAATCTGTCGCTTACATTTCATTAGTATTTAAATATTTGATCGGACTGTGAAATGGATGAAGGTGCTACATTGTTATCTGCCAAAAATTATAAGCATAATAGATTTATCATATTCCTCAAGGTGATACGTGTTCTCCACTGAAAAATATACCCGCTCATAAAATTCTATTTTTGGACATAAATTCAGACAAAAACAATTCTCCAAAAAATAACTGATTTTTTCCTCTCTAATACTCTATTTTGAACATTATTTAAATTAATAATGAAGTTTTTAATTAGAAGAAACAGCCAAGGGAGTTGTAGAATTTTCAGTAGAATGCACAAGAGGAATGGATTGAAGTATACAAAAAGAGGAAAATAAATGAACAATAAATCATCTCATGACTCTTTATTTTATTCATCACTCATTTTGTTTAAATATCATATTTTTGTGTCAGTCGAGTGGGTGTCCGTATTGTCGGGCAAGCACGAAAAAATAGAGCACTGTGACATTATTTTGCGTTTTAATGAATAACACCGTTAGTACATGCCTTACATACATTCCCCATTTTGTTCTACTCCCTCACACTCTCCCTTTCGCCCCACATATTCAGTGTATATACACAGATACTCGTTTTAAATATGGATATCACGTACACATTACCAACATTCTTGCGAAAAATACACTCACGAGATAAAATAGTCAGACCTAAAAGAAAAAAGAAAATAAATACGAATTTCCCTTATTTACGCTACCCCTAAACGTTTCGCAGGCTCCAAATAAATTTCACGGCACGTATTAACGTTTGGAATGGCCATAAAATTAATCTAAGGGATGTAATACCACACCCCTTACATTTTGCAATGTCTGAGCAAAACTGAGCGCCTTTTACATCATTTATATATTCATCCACGTAGAAATTGATCGTTAAAAATTAATCGCTTAAAGTAAGGTCCAGTTCTGCTGGCCTTGAGATATACCAGAAAAGACATACCATAAAAAATTACAACTAGTATTCAATCTGGAAATAATAGCTGAATTAAGTGATTCGTTAATTGAAATGTTGCTTGTTGAATTATCCATTTTTTTTCCTGTCTAGATTATTTTGGGTAAGAAAATTGACGATTATTTTATCGAATTATTGGGATCCCGATGGATATCTTGGATTGATATGAATGATTAAGAGATTTTAGTTTAATGAGTTTGAGTGTATGTTATTCTGCGATCGTTAATTGCCAGAAGCTGTGGATTTTTCAGAATTAATTTCACGAGAGTTTCAGTCATTCATATGAGATATGTACGAGTACGATAAGTTTATTGATATGGAATTGTTTATCGGGATACACTGGGAAATTTTCACGGATGTTTCAAATATATTTTCCAAATTTTACCGACGCACAAACTGAATAGAGAAATTCAGAAAATTCAAGTCATGGAAAAATCCAGTTTTGCCGGGTGTTGAATGAAAATTCATAATTTAGTATTCACGATAAAATTCGAAAAACTGAGAAAATCCTCTCCCAGTGTACCCTCTCCCGATAATTTGGCACAGAAAAAATATCCCCATTGAAATTTGGACAGGAATTTCGACATTATACTTTAGGTACGGGAAAAGGATGCATTAATAAAAGACAAATATACAGTAGGCTGACGACAAAGACAATTTTCATTATTTTTTCTCCATCCCGCCGATCATTTATATTTTCTGGATTGAGACTAAAAAGTAAGAAAAAGCACGAGAATTCAAATCCACGGGATTTAATCCTCAATCGCTCATTCTATTCAGTTTCATAGTTTTATTTACTATCTTTTTTGGCACACAAAAATGGTACATGTACGGATCACCGGGTCGATCCCTTGTTTTCAGTGTGAAAAGCGCAACACAAACTCACCGGCCATTTATCTGTAGGTCAGTTTGTGTTCATATACTTTATTTTACTTTATTCCTCTTGTTTGGATTTGGATATGTACTAGTTCACCGTGTACACACCAAGTGGAGTACTGAAATAACACTGAGTGCTACGAGGTATGGCCGATGGAGAATGGAGAACGATGCAGAACTTGCTCCACGGGCAGCTTCTGCCAGTCCTACTGCAAAATAAAAATATTATCCAATCCTGAACCCAATCCTCATCAATTAACACCACTTCGATCATTTATATCCAACAAATCATAGCATTACATTTAACATTTTGAGTGACAAAAAAAAAACTAGAAATCCAAAACATCATTATGTTACTTTTCAAATTATCGGGGAAATCACAAAAATTTTATTGACAGCCTGAAAATATTTTAATGTTGTTTTAATATATTTTTATTCTATTTTTCAAATGGTGAAACAAAATGATAAGGAATAATGCTAAGAAATGATGGGTGTATTTATCTATTATGATGTTGATGTAATTATAAACTCACCGCGTAGTATCATGTCATCTTTGACTTCGATCTCTGGAAAATAAGCAGGTGTTTTCGAGTTAACGAGGTGAATGTTATCAAGAGAGACTCAAGCTTTTGAGGGGTAAAATTAATTACCGTATAGTCTTGTGGAGCCTTCGGCTTTTCCCAGGCTATTTGATGCTATGCAGTTGTAACTACCCACGTCCTCCGGTGTGAATTTCTTTATCAGAAGGGTCATTGTCACGTGATAACCCGTTCTATCCTCTCGAATTTCGTATTTAGGGCTGAAATAGGATCGACCAAATGAGATTATCAGATTTAATATTTCATTAGTCACTTTCTCATCGGAAATTTTATCTCTCAGTATTTCTGCCGAGGATTGTCCAATTTCAGGATTAGCTCTGACCTCTCGAAACAGAAATCGATATGCTGAATCGTTCAATTAATTAATCAATTAATTTTAACTAATTTAAACATTTCCGCTCATCTCTCACTTCAATTTAACAACACAATTGCTGATATCAGAATTTTCGTCAAGACCTTTTTTGCAGAGCCAATTGTAATCTACGAAAAAGGTAATTACGTAATTTTCACTATCTCCTTTAAATCCAGAGGTACTTTCCGTTGTTGAATTGGAGTTGTTAACAATTTTACAATTACTTCAAACCGTTTTAAAGATTTGTCAGAAAATTATATGGAGTTGACGAATTCATGTGCACTCGTCATAACACCACAAAAATAGAGCTTCCACAAGGAATTTCCCACCGGAGACGTCAGGATAGTTATCGCTGTTAAAATGACTTAAGAATGAGAAGACTGATGTAACATTGATAGTACAGAATGCACGTCTGAGCGATATAAAGATATCTCACCCATCTAGAAGCATTCTGCTATTCTTCTCCCAAAAGTTTATCGTGTTGGGATGTGCCTCGATGGAGCACTCCAGCTGCACACTCCGGCCCAATGGTGCTCCCAGCAGTTGAGCTCGTACTTCCACTGCGGGGGCAACTGTCGAGAACCAGAAGCATCATGGCAACTTGACAGAATTTAAGTGACTGATATTTTCCCTTTATGATGTAGAATCGATGAGAAAATAGTCTACCACTGTGCAAGTACAAAAAAAAGTATGGAGTCCATTTTTTTTCTCTGTATCATCGAAAAAATTTGATGGAACTCAGGGTAATGAATTCTTTTTTAGACAACGAGAGAGAATTAATTGAGAAAGTCAATTAACAGTGAATTGGTGGTAAATTAACGAGTACTGGAATAAACGAAAGGAATAATTTCAAAATCTGGAGTGGCATCGTGTCAGTTTAATTTTGAGCTACTCTCTGGGTTGCTGGTTATTTCTGGACGGATTTGGATTGCTCGGAGGTAGTCAGGTCTGATGATGAATAACTTGTGTGAATAGTGGAAGTTTGATGCTTACAATTGACTTCCAGTGTAACGCGTTTGCTGACTGATGGGGGCACTTCGTTGGTGGCAATGCACATATACACTCCCATCTGCTGTCTGTCTACACGATGGAAGTGTAACTTGGATTCATTGTACTGAGTGATCTTCTGGAAATTGGCAATCTTCCGACCTGTGGATAATTCAAATAATCAATAACTCCAGTGGAATCACCCTCAAGGTTTCATCCAACGAAATTCCACTGATTGGTTTATTTGGCCATTAATTTATTCAACTGATGATCTCAGGCAATTCCACTGATTTGTGACTCAAGGAAAGGGATAATTCCATTTTTCATTTGACACTGGAAAATTTTTTGGAGGCGCACCACGATTTTTATCTCTACATGCAATCATCAGATCTATAAAACAATTTTAATCGTCACTCGACCACTTAAATTTCTCAATTCGGTAATTCCGTAAATACATTTAACGATCGATTTGTCTCGCATTTCTGGGGAAAAGGGTGAATCTTGGGAGATAAAGGAGACAATCAGAGTATCGAGTTAAACGCAGTTTGGATCGAGTTTACTCATGGAGTTTACAAACGACTCGAGTCGATTGTGTAGCTAGAGGTAGGAGGTAACAGAAAGTAGTTGAAACAACAGAGAAAATAAAAGGTACATCTGTATTTATTCAATTGTATTTTCTCTCTTCTCCCCATAAATGGATTTGAAGAGGGAACTGAGAGAAAATAAATTGCCACGGGGGGGGTGAGCTTAAAAAAAAAAAATTCTCATTGGAATGCACAAGAATACGGAAACAAGATATGTTGTTTTGCATTTGGGGATTTAAGAGAATAACCGATTGTTTGAATGTATTTCTGAAACGAGTTTTACCTTCTTGTGGTGTTACTTTTGTGCAGTGTACGTCGAGCGTTAGACCGTAACGAGTTAGAAAACTCCTCTTCCCCATGGACTGTTTTCTCGTTATCTTTCCTTACACTTCCAGCCTCACCTCATTCCTCTACGAATTTTCTTATTTTTATTTGTTAACCCGGCTTTATCCACATATCTGAGTGTCTGGAGGTGCAAGAGATCGATGGAGATAAGGAAAGAGCCCCTTTTTTTATTCCTCTCTCCTTTTTTTTTTGGCAACTTAAATAAGGGGAGGAGAAAAAACATTGGACAAGATTGATGGCGAGTGTTGGAGGATTTTTACAGTGACTCGAGCATAAATTTCGTCGGACAGTATCATTCGTCTTGGGTAATTTAATTCTTTATGATGGGTTTAGGGAGATCGCGGTGAGGTTCAAATAATAAATATGTCGGTTGTCGGCATGAATGGATTCATTTTGCACCAGTTTTTCTCTTCCATGTGAATTATTCATGATTAGTATTGATTTTTTTCTTGTCATTTCTCAAAATCAATTTTTATGACGACTCGCTATTGATTTTTACTGTCCAGACGATAAAAACATACGAAAATTCCACGACAACTTTTTTCGCAATATTTAAATTTGACTTTACGTCACTCTCGGAAGAATTACTGTCGCAGTTTCCAGGGAATAAAAAAATTGGCACGGAAATGTCATTTGACAAATATAATTTTTTGAATTTCACTCGAATCCATGACTCCGTCAAAAATAAAAAAATTGTTCTTCCGAGAACCACAAGATTTGGCATCCTCCGTGGTTTTAGAAATGATTTTCAAAATCAGCGGGAGATAAAAACGCGAGAGTAGAGTCAACAGGAATAAAAATGCTGCGGCGTTACCCTGGTGCACTCATAGAATACACAAGTGAAAGAACAACGCTCGGAGTTCAGCGATTCATCAGAAATGAGAGAACAAACAAGAAACAGGCCATCGATCACAAAGTCAAACGCACCACCTCGCATGATGATAATTTCAAAAAATTCATCGTAAAGCCCTGAGAAAAAAAAACATTCCCTCGCAAATGTAGTTGCGAGACGTAAATAGATTTTTTGGGAGGGGCGAGTAAAACCGATGAATTAACACCGCCATTTTGAAATCCACTAACGAAGACATTCAGAAAATCTCTAAATACATCTAAATGAGTGCATTGAAAGGCCAGGTATAAAAACCATAAAAGAAATCCTCGCTCCTCCGTTTTCTCATCAAGACAGAAATATTCCGGAAATCAACTCAAACACGGAAAAGCCAAGTTTTGTATTACTCTAACGAATGGACCTTTCTCCATCCCTCAGCACCCGCCAAAGACAAGAAGTAAGGAAATCTAACTGGTTGGAATCAGGCAAAGGGGAGACAAGATGAATGGCAAATAGCAACGGATTTTCGTCCATTTCTGTAACCATGCAATCATCCAGCAAAAGATTTCTGATTTTCACCAATTTTTCCTTCATTTTTATGGATTCACACAACCGCCCAAAATTCAAATAGAAAATCCTCAAGTTCAAGAATTAACAAGAAAAAGATTTTAAAAACAATTTACTGACTAATACTAATAATTACTAATAATCGGGGGCTCTAAAAAAATTGCCATGCAATATTGCGAGGGAAAAATTGTTAGTTGAAAAATATAAATATAGTTAAAAAATAATCCTGGGATAGATATCGCATAATTCGTTGAATTGTCGGCAGAAAAAATTTTTATTTCCCGTTACGCGAATTATTCTGCAATTTTTTTAAATATTTATCTCCGTATGCTGTAATTTCTGGGGTACTAAAGGCATTCTTGTTTTAGCCCCCTGACAACAGCAGCAACTACTCATGAAATTCATTGCCGTGAACCGAATAAACCGAGTAAATTGGAAACAAAAGATAACTAACTGGATCTGGAAGAAGCGGTTTCACGTAAACTCGATAAAGAGCAAGCACGCGCGTCTAGTCCGTTGATTATGCTTCTGTATGATCCCCGCTGAAAGTGAAACGACGGTAGACGTTGGAATTTATGTACAAAGGCTAAGATATAACGAATGGAGGGAATAGGGGTGGGCAGAAGTAACCAGTTTCTCCTTTGAGAAGTTTTCGTAAAGCGGAAGCTCCTTATAGGCCGACGGAGGAAAGGGGTCCGAATCTCTCACCAAACTACTTCAACATAGTACACTTTCAACTCACTCCATCTGTCTCTTCATTCTCTTACTCTATTTTATCCACCTGTCTCTCTTAGTCACGTGTACATACACGATCGCCAAGTTTTCGAGTTTGGCCGGAAGTTGAGGCCGGCATATAGAACGAAACCCCTGAAAAGGAGATCTAGTACTAGAAGATACTGCTAGGCCTTTTACCATTTTACCAATCAGAAGATACACCTGGTAAATGATATTGCGGAAAACGATTATTTACGGATTTATAAGAGAAAATCATGTCGGTGGAATTTATTATTCCGTAAGGGAAAATTTTCTCTTCGAGATGACTAAAGTGATTTTATATTTTTCTTGGATTGAAGGTTGTCACTGGGAAAAAGTATGCCTCAAAGGAATACTGGTAGTCGTTGAGTAAACCACTCGATGTGGTAAAACGTAACTGATCAAATATGCTATTCCTCTCAATTGTATGGTTATCTTGAAATCAGTGATTCCGGGAGGAGAGGCATCCGAGGACTTTCTTATTCCAATCCATTTCTCCCGTCATCGAGAACCCTCGAAGAGGTATCAGCCCCGTAAAAATACCCGCAAGCATCTCGTAAATGTGATTAAAATCCCAGAACCCCTCGTGATTGATCAATTTCAAGGCAAACATGATGTACCCTAAAAAAATCAATTGACTCGTCTCTGAAAACTTCAAAAGACCACGCATTAATTCCGTAAAAGGATATCCCAAATGTGATTAAAAATCGGAATGGCAATCTTCACTTGATATTCGCGCACTCAATAATTTTCGCATGTCCGAAAGGAGTAAAAACCCGCTTGCTGTCAGACCTGCCCGAAAAAAAACCGAGACATGTTTTAATTCAATTCAATTCCACAATAATCTTATCTCCCAAAATAATAAATTTTTCACCAGATTGAAATTGATTCGAGTCAACCCACACCCCATGATAATTCTCCTACTTCAATCACTACCAAAAAAAAAAAATTAAATCCCTTCCAAATACTTCCACGAAAGCTTCCGAGTCCCTCTCCAAATAAATCATCAAAATAAATCCAAAAAATATTCCCTTCCCATCGTGAAAAATCAGCCGAGAAAATCGACCCTTTTAAATAATCAAATCCGCGACAGTTCGCGAGAGTGCGAACTCGGTCACCTCGTCTCTTTTTTTCAATCTTTGAACCCGCGGGTACATCCCGGTGAGCTCTGCGGAGAGGAAAAAGGGTGAGTTAAAGTGAAACAAGACGAAAAAAAAAAATATATACCCAGGGAAATAAAAAAGCCAGGGGAATAAAAGGAGACGCGTAAAAAGAAGCACGACCGCGGTGTGCCGACGTCGTACTCGCTGACTCATCGGGCATGCATGGCACGAAGGTGCCAGGGTGCGGTATTCCACCCCCCCTCTTTTATCCCCCTTTCATTCCCCCCTCATCCCCCGTCCTCCCCCTTCAACCCCATCCACCCACTGGATCTCTTCTCACAGTGAGAATAATCACGCCGATATCGTCCCTCGAGAAACCGCCAACACCCCTGTACACCTATTAAAACCACCCCCTGCAACCTAAAACCTATTTGAAAATTTCTCCTCGAGTACTGCTAAACCGTTTCGGCCCTCGATTCAATCCGTTTGTCCGACGACCACCAGAAGCTATCGTCTACGTTTTTTTATCCCCGCGTTTTTTTACTTCGGTCGACGAAATTCGAGTTTCAATGGGTCGCGAGAAAATTATGGGGCTTTCAAGGGTTTCTCCCAGGGACGGGGTGAATGCCAATTTTAGGAGCAGATGTCGGGGGTTTTTATGTGTGCTACCTTTTTTTTTGGGGGGATTTTTCGGGGAGCAGAAGTCTTGGGAAATGAAATTTTAGAGGTGTGAATTATTTCAGTGATTTACCATTTGTTGTACGTTTTCTTTAATTAATTAATTTTTTGAATTATTTGGTTTAGACCTGACAATTCGGGGGTAGTTGATGAGAATTTCTGGAATCGAGGGGTAAAAAATGGCGAGTAAAATTTTAGCGAGTGAATACGTTCGTTTGAATTGTTCTTCCTTCGTCATCATCACCGGAAGATTCTCGAGAAATCGATAAACTAGTTTCACTTGGAAACCTCATTATTATTCCCGAGGTTCTGACATTCGGTGAAATTATTCTCCAGCACATCGAACTCTTTGAAGAAATTGAGAATCAATTCCCACTGACTGGTTCTGCGGATCGGGAATAGTAAGAGGGTCATTAGACCCTTGGGGGAAAAGGGAATTCGCAATTTCACGGGGTCATTGAGAGTTCTTTTGAGTTCGTTCACTACCGAGAAAATGATTAAAGGAGTTTCTGATGTTCAGAACATTTCTTCCCCGCATTCATCGAAACTAGTGGGGCGGTTGGTTTATTCGCGCAATTTTCTACTGAAAAATCGCCTTCAGGGACATTGAAATCCATCTCCTCCCGGAACTCGTGTTTTCAACTTTTGAATTTTCTCCAGAATAAAATTAATTTATTCGTTTTGATGAGAAATATGTTTTCAGAGGCACAAAGACGAGGTAAATACCGCGGATTAAGAGAGTAAATAGTTGTTTACGTTTAAAAAGAGTCCCATTGAATTGCTTTCCCCTTCCGGAAATTCCTTGCTGCACATTCCTGGGACTATAATTGCTCTTGCCAACTCCTTTATTTTTATTCCCTCCATTTCTTCGACATTCTTCGCGTACCGTCCCGAATCTGACCAGAGAAAACTAATAATTCCTTGCTACACTGTTGAAAAATTACCCGTTAAATTTTAAACAACGAATTTTTTCAATTTTCAAGTCTTAAGTTCATGTAAAAAATTTTAACGTCAGTCAGTGATTTCCGCAATTTTTAATTTACTTAATTCATTGAAGTTCCAATAATTTTAAGTTTTTCTAATGTTCTTTCTGTCAACCTGGTCTAATTTACAGTATTGAGGGGTCCCATTCCAATCTTAACTCAAATTGATTGAAGAAGATGTTCCTGACACACGGCATCCTGTTCAATTATTCACAGGACGAAATAGTTAATGCGCACTTCGAAAGGCTTCTAATAATAAAAGGATTATTTACAACTCTGCATCGGAAAATCATGAATTAAATTGAGTGATAAATTCTGAACTAGGAAAAACCTCAGAGCCATTTTGGTGAGAATATTTCTGTTAAAAGAAAATGGTAGGACCGATCTATTGTGGGATAAATCTTTTGTCTCTGTGAAATAAAATTATTCTCAAATTGACGTGAATGCTGGCAGGTGGTGTACGTGAAAAGAGAAATATCCCTCGTTTTTATTTTCTTACAAGTCTGACAACAAGCGGGTTTTCACTCCTTTCAGACATGCGAAAATTATCGAGTGCGCGAATATCAAGTGAAGATTGCCATTCCGATTTTTAATCACATTTGGGATATCCTTTTACGGAATTAATGTGCGGTCTTTTGAAGTTTTCAGAGACGAGTCAATTGAATTTTTTAGGGTACATCATGTTTGCCTTGAAATTGATCAATCACGAGGGGTTCTGGGATTTTAATCACATTTGCGAGATGCTTGCGGGTATTTTTACGGGGCTGATACCTCTTCGAGAGTTCTCGATGACGGGAGAAATGGATTGGAATAAGAAAGTCCTCGGATGGCTCTCCTCCCGGAATCACTGATTTCAAGATAACCGCATAATTGAGAGTAATAGAAAATTTGATTAGCTGGGGTTCATCGAGTGGTTTATTTACTGAATATCAGTATTCCCTTGGCCTTTTCTTTGGACGAGAATACTTTATGCAAGGAATATGGAACGTGTGAGATACGGGGAATTGAGGATTTTACGGTTTAAAATCAGTTTTGTCATTTCAACGGAGAGCCGGTGGATGAAAAAGAGCTGTCAGCTGCCTTGCAGAATCGGAAATTTCGCTGACTTCACTGGAGCATCCATAATTCTGGGTCCCATCCCTTCTCATAGCACCCTTGAATTTTTGCTTCTCATAAGTTCAGCCGACGAAAATTCAGAGGTTGTAAAATGTGACAATGGCCGCCGAGATTGATTCGTATTAAATTTTAACGCCATCGGTGAGCGCTCATATAGTGAGAATGTCATTTTCCATAAAATCTTCATATACTTTGGCCATTATTACCGTTTTGCCACAATCCTAGTGTAAATATTATAAAATATATAAATTTTCTTGGCAAATAAAAAAGCTAGATATTCACTCTGAATTTTCCATCTCCTGCAAAACCGTAAATATTACCCATCCCTCCGGGGTAACGAACGCTGACGATTGATGCGTCGTGTTCTCACCCAGAGAATCGAATAACCATTCCGATTTTACACGACCGTTGAATTTGCCCGTTGGAAAAAGGATGCCGTGTGAAAATGTATGCACGACAGTGTGTATAAAAGGCAGTGTGATAATGTCGGTTACGTAGATGCACCAGAAAATTGTGCTCCAGGTGATGGTCCATTTGGCTGTAACCACTGTCGAGTATTTTGCCGGTGTAAAGGAGACAGAGAGAGGATGGGAATGGAGTTTAGGTGTTACGAGGCTCAGGGCAACATATAGGGATACGTATGCGAGACATCGGAATAACTCGTAAAACGTTGATCCCGTCGGTGGGATTTGATTCGACGGTGGAAACCGAAAATTACAAGTCCCCGGCGTTGAGGGTTGGCTGGGGAGACTTTGGTTCGAGGGACTTTAACTGGGAGAAATAGCTGGTGAGAGTGTGGGGGTTAATGCAGGAGATGGAAAGAGGATGAGTAAAATGGTGGTTTGAAAGTCAGGGATTTGAGACCTGGGGAATCATTCGTGGAGGGGGTGAGAAATTCGTACATAGACAATGAATACGAACTGTAGGAACTTGAGAACGAGGTCGAATTCCTGATGAGAATGTGTTGCCCATCCTCTCGCCTCCAGGATACTCGGGGCTTTGGTATACCCGTTGCTTGACAATTGAGTGTGACATTTTCACCCTCCGATACCGACAAATCCTTGCTGGTCTCGTCCCCATAAACAATATCGGGCGGCACTGTAAACAGAGAGAGATTAAATATTTGGATTGCCTCTTCTTGACACTTTACAAAAGCATTAGTATCCCTTTCAGGATAAAAACACTTGGCTTTTTAATATTTACGATTAATATTTAAGATCATTCGGTCGCATCTGCATCAAAAAATAAAAATAAATATAAATAAAAATTAACTCAATAATTTATGAGATGAAAAATGTCTGATGGGGCTAAATGAAGCTGGAGTAATTATTTATTGGGAGATCCGCTGGCAAAAATGGGAGAATTATTGGTTTTTATTTTTTTAATTGAATGAGAATGACTTCAGGGAATGGAAATAAAACGATCGTCGATTAATTACCCTATCATTATCTCATTGAAATTGTTACTTCCGGTGTTACTGTACTCAGTCGAGCAGTCCAAAGTAGATTTCATGTTTGGTCGCTCGGAATTGGGTAGAAAGCCCGATCTAATTTCCTCTGTGAGCTAACTATAGTCTTATTGATCCTATCTCATGCGATACTAATGGAATCCCACTGTCGATAAATGTCCTTTGGCTTCAATCATTCAGTGATCCGAGTCCTCACGTGTAAATAGACACTCAGTGACTATATCATTTGGCTACACACTATCCCCTGTTGAAATTCATCCGCTCGTTTCTCCACTTGGACAATCCGAATTGCAACAATAACCCTGAATTTTCATTTTACTGGAATTATTTATTTTAATTAGTGTACGGCAGTCCTCATGAGATGAATTTAATTTATACTGAAAAAATTCTTCTTGCTGAGGAAATTACAGCTAAAATAAAATCCACTTGTCAAACGCAAATATTTACGAACATTTTTTTCAACTCGGCAAATTCATCTTTCAATTGAATAATTATTTTCTCTCAGTGCGGGAAAAAAATAATCGTGAAAATTCAGGTTTCAAAATTTTTTAACTCGTTTTCGTTAATTTAACTGAAAATTCCCGAATTTCGTTGAGTTTCGAGTGCTTCGAAGCGAAAAATAGTGTAAATATTGTGGATCGAGTCCTGCGAGTGCAGAAATTTTTTACAGTCGAGAAAAAAAAAATAGACGTAACGAGATTAATGGGAAAATCTCGTAGAGTTGAAGAAGTGATTTCGCGGTCAATTGAAATATTGAGGACCCCTCAGAGATGGAGTATTAAGTCGATTGATTTCTCATCGGCATTTTTTCAGTCCCGACTGCCAAGGAACTCCGGAAAAAAAAAAGGTAAAAATAAAAATGAGACATAAAACATTGACAGATTCCGCCTGATTGAGCTAGTCAGACTGGGAGATTTAGTCCCGTCATATATGCACAGTGGTTACTCCCGATGCACTCGAAATTCCAATATATTTGACCCTCTGGTTCATGTATAGAAATGCAAGTATGAGCACACACCACTGTGGAAAGCGAATATGCGAGTTGCATTGATTGGCTTCGACTCTTCTCGGCAAATCTCCAGTTCTCCCTCGTTCAGCAAATACATAGACTCTATGCTCTGTGCATATATGCATATAAATGTATGCACACTCAAGAATCACGTACTCCAATATGTCATATATAAAGTGGACAATTGTTCCAATTCACGTATATAATATTCGAGTACTCTCCGTGCGTCGCCATTTTCCTTATCCTAATTTCAACCGGAAATCAGTGGTAATGTCGTGTTAGTCTGTAATTACTCGGGATTTATTTGCATTCATTAAAATCGGGAGGAGTAACTAATCACGAATCAAAGGATTATCACATCAATTGTTTATAATATGTATTTTGTTTATATATTTTCGGCTGTTATATTTCTGGAGTTCAATAATTTAAAAATGATAATTTATGAAAGATCCCATAATGTCGGTTATTGAAATTGATTTAAAATTCGTTTGAGTGAAATGTATAAAGAGGAATTGAAGAAATATCTCAGAAATGTGGAATAGTGGAAAAAGAAAAATGGGGGAAATGGGGGGGAAATGGGGGGAAAAGGGAGAGGAAAAAGTTCTTACCAAGAATGGACAAACATCCGAGCTCCGATTTCATGGGATCTGTATTGATTTGGCACATGTAGCAATCTCTGTCGCTCTCTTTGAGCTGTCGTATGTGCAACTTCCACATGCAGTTGACTCCCTCGTCGGTGACCTGATTGGTACCGGTCACGCCGTGAATACCCATGGGAATATCTGACGTGCTCGAGCAACCGCCGGTCTCGTAAGTCACTGATATACGTGTATTGTGAGTTACTATTCGTGTACTCAATGAGAGTACTGTCTGGTCCGATGCCCTCAGCCATCCCACCTTCAACATCAACAACAACAACATAAACAATCAGTACATTGGTATTTTAAAAATCCCATACTGAAACAACAATTGATTAAATTAAAAGATTTGTTACAAAACTAGAACTGAATGTTGAATTGAATTCATTTCTGTCAGAGAACTAATTATTTTTTTTTTGTAACATCCGTTGATAATATTATTATTAAGTCAAATTGAAAAATAGTGTTTTTTATAATATTACTAAATAAAATTAATGGTAATAATTTCTCGAAGAATGTAGTCCACCTGTCGTTGAATACCGGTAAATATTTTCCAATACTTCTTCCTCCATTGACCCGAAAAAATTTCTAATAGAAAATTTCAGAACTCCCCGCCTCAATATAATTTTTTCCCCGACAATATTTTCGCCATAAAAGCGGCGATCCTCAGAAAATCCCGTTAAAAAATCCCTCACCTGCCTAATCCACAAACCACTCGTTTAATATTATTCCATAAAAAAAAAAACAAACTCTCCTCCAATTTTAATTAACTGTTTTCCCAGCGTAAGCCGGCTTTTATTATTTTTAATTTTTAATTAAAAAACCGAGGATCGTAAAACTTTCACCAACATTTTTTTTTCCGGTGGGCATAAAATTCAGGGAGACGTGCGGTATTTTCAGTATTTCCCAGTGCTTTCCATCGTTTTCCATTGAGACTGATGCGACGATGATTGGTTGGAGGAGAAAAACCGAAGTGATATAGGTCAACATAAAGGCATCCCCCATCATCCCACAATCCCCCAATCCCATCCCACTTTATTCTCAGTATCAATCTATCTTTCTCCCGTTTTACAATGTTGCACATACATTATCCAGCCCCAGAAACACCTACACATAATATCAAACTTATATTAAACTATACCGACCCCAAAAAAAAAAAAAAATCACACAAAAATTAGCGATTAATCAACGAATTTTTTAATATTTAAACAAACGTCCGCAGGCCAGTAGGTTAATTAATGAATGGACGGTTAGCGGGATAAAATAAAAAATGTAGATAAATAAAAAAATGTCAATTAGCTGAAATGACGGATTTTTCAACAGTAATTGATAATTAAATGGTTTGTATCCTTGTGTCACCCAAACTATAATGAATTTATTGGCAATTCTCTTACAGTTAAATTCACCATGGAAATTACTCTGAGTGTACAACATTCCCCACACGACAAACTCATCACTTGCCAATAATCTACAATTAATCCAATTTACCGCGTCTCTCCGCTCTCAATTTCGCAATCCAACAATTCCAAATTCGGGGTATGAGCCTCAGCTGCACGCAATTCGATTGCAAATAGGCGATAGCAATTATGCGGTAAAGTTATCCGACAAGTTGTCAGTATTGTATTATTTTCCTTAGCTCGGAAGTTTCGAGAAATCCCCACGGAGACGAGAGAATTTATTATGCGAGAGAGCATGATGTTCCACCACCCTCGGGTACGTGTTTACAGGAGTTTCTGTTCCCTCCGTTTAATTTTCAATGTTTTTGTGATGAGGAAATTGGGTTGGAGGATTCGGGTGATTAACGGGGTGATGAGTTAATACTGATAAGAGGTCGGAGTGATGGGGTTGTGGTTTTTCCGGAAAGCTGATTATTTTAATTTCACGAGATTACGAAAAAGAGGAATTATTCCAGCCTTTGGTAATTAAAAATTCAGCTGATGTGGATTTTTACGATCAGGTGGAGATTCCGCAGATTACTCCAATTTTTATTTTTATTTTAATCCTCGTTACCGATCGGAATTACCCGGGTAAAAAAAAAATTGTAATCGGAATATTTTTTTTTAATTTTCAAAAATTTAAGTAGGAATTTTTTTTTCATTATTTAAATGGCGTATTTGTTCAGAATATTTAAAAACTACAGTATAATTTTTTAAAAATTATATTCGCAAAAATTTCTAGAAAATTATAAAAAAAATTTTCCGGAACAAATTTTTGAAAAATTTTTCAAAACATTTCCCAGAAATAAAATTGTTTTGTCTCCCGATTTTTTTTTTGTTTCAAATGAGAAATCTTCCGAAAAGTTTTCCAGAAATTTTTTTAAAATTTGGAAAAAATATTCCGATAACAATTTTTATTTACCCAGGTAATGGTCGCATGAATCTATGAAAAAATTATTCTGTAATTATTCACATTTCAATTAGGATTTGATTTTATATTTAATAACAAGTGAAAGAGTGGTAGGAATTCCGCGGAAGTGTTGAAATAATGTCAAGCTTTGATGCACTGTATTTTTCATTCGAATTTTTATTTTCATCCGTCATGTTGATTGATTGGAAAAATGTGACATATGCCTCTACCCGACATGATTCCAGCTGTCTGAAGCTCATCAACTCGTTCCGAATTTATTTTCAAATTGAATCCCATGCGTACAATTTAAAGAATGCACATCGCGACGTACACCGAGAGAAATTTTCATGGTAAATTTACCGCCGAATTACGATTAAATAAATTATTCCCCATTGCCAACGAACATCTAATGAACTAAAATCATTACACCTGTATATAAATTATTAATTAATAACAATCTCAAAGCCCTCGGTCCGCTTCCAACCATTTCCCGTCTAAAAACGGTACAGTATTATTTCTACATCGTGAAAACCTCGAGTATTTTTCCAGCTATCCTAGTTATTTTTTTTCCCCCAACGGAGAAGTGAATTTTCATTGAAAGGGGCGAGAGATTCTCCAGTTGTAGACGAAAATGTTGCGGTTTTTCCGGTAAAATCTAAAACAACAGAAATTGGAAGAAAGGGAGGACAGAAATTGCAAGTGGATATAACCCAGATGAGGAGGAAGTGCCGGAACCGATGGCAATCGTGGACACGGAGAAGCACCTGGAGGTGAAGGGAATTGGTGTTAGAAAGGGAATGAAGGTGAGAGTTTGTTTTTCTCCGAGTCTTTCTTGTCGTATCAATGTCGTGAGGAGCCTCGGGACACGAATAATGGATTCTAGGTTGTATCCCATTGCTGTTGTACAACACTTATTTCTCATTTTACCGACAAATGATGAAAACCATGAAACACCTCACCTTGTATTTTCCGATATTTCGCACGTAACAGGAGAACACTGCTTCACGACCAATTGCCGCTGTTTGATTGCCAACGGGACGGACGAATGATGGGCCATTTCCATGTGACTCTGAAACGGAAATCAATTTAAGTATGTCGTTACAATCTTTAAATTATTGATTTATCATTCTGTCTCTGATCATTTCAATTATTCCAATCCAATCCAATCCAATCCAATTGTTATATTATTGTTTACAGTAAAAAAATTCTAAACAAATCTTCAAATTTGAGAGGATAATTGTCCACTACATTTTAAAATTCCTCGCCCCTCGCGATTACAAAACATCAGGATAAATTATGATAAATATTTATCTCCGTAGGAGAGCAGTAATTTTTTGTTGCTCTTCTTTTCACCGGATCAAAGTTCCCAGGGGTGCGGGGAGATCCGGTGTTTAGAGTTTTTGGGATAATGTCGGGGATTTTTCCGTGATGGTGATTGGTGGCGGATATTTGTTTCGCGAGTGATGGAATAGGGTTTGTCGGGGTTATCGGGTGGGAATGCTGATGAGGGTGGGAAATGATACAGGAAGAGAGATCTTGGAGTTGACCTGGATGAGGAATTGGGGGTTTGGAGGTCTGACTGGAGACCCGTAGGCGATATTTGGAGGGTAATTGAGACAGTTGTTTGGGGAAGGGGGGAGGGGGATGAAAAATTTTTCAAAACATCTCTCAAAAATACAATTGTTTAATTTCCCTTTTTTTTTGTTTCAAAAGAAAAATTTTCTAAAAAGTTTTCCAGAAATTTTTCAAAAGTTTTCAAAAATATTCCGATTACAATTTTTTTTTACGCACAAGTAATTTATTGTAAGCAATTTTTTCAATGAATTCATTGTGTAGAATTTACTCATTGAGATATATTGATATTTTATTTTGGATATTTATTTGAAGATATCGCTCATTCCTGGGATTTGAACGGTGCTGTTCGTCACTGGTTGATAACGCCTCGTTTCTCCCTTTGCGTACTCAAGCGCAAAGGTAAAATCCTCTAGGTAGATAAATCCAAAGGGAGGGAGTAGAAAATTAACGCCCAACAAAGATGAAATATCGTGTGAAGGAGAATAGGAGAAAACAGAGGAAACTGAATACGTGGATGGGGCGTCAATTCGACGCCTTTGCCAGTGGATTTTGTGTGATTTATCAGGCGTCTTGGTGTATATCCAGAGAGTATGAGACACCTGAGGAAATATTTTCCCTTATTTTTCATCCTCCATTACCTTTGTTACCATTTTCCACTCTCGGCTGATTTTTTTTTTTTCAAATCCATTGTCCAGTAATCGATTTTCGAAGCTCCATTGTTTGGATTAATTCATTTTCTATGAGCCTTTTCACGTCGACCCGTCCGAGGCCTCGGTTTAACACGTGTCAATATTTTTTCGCTCCAGTCAATTTGAGGATTTTCATTAGGATTTTTATCGGGATTATCAGGAGTCGCAGGGGGAAGCGTGATTGTGGCTGCTTTCTTTCTGAGATTTTCGTGTGAAAGAATAATTAGGTCACGTCGAGGGAAATATTTCATAGTATTTATACTTCGTTTGGCTATTGTAGGAAAATAGTGAAATGATTGTTAATTAAACGGCAGTGATTGATTCTGATAATTCGTCGTTTAATTTCGGTGGATTAATTTAGAATCGTTTCTCTCTTACGTACGACAAAATCGCAGGGAATTCTCATCAAGTTAAGGATGAGAATCTCATACTCGTGATGGGAAATTGGATGATGGAATTTGTACCGAAGTAATACGATTTAGGTCGATTTCAGGTGTTTTTCAGGTTTTAACCTGTGACTGTGAGTGTAAATACCATAAAATTCCGTTGAAGTCGCGCCGTTTATAAATTTCGGTTTTCCCGCATTTTTCGAATTCCCCTAGTTAATACCCTCGGGCTCCAAGATGTCAGCCATCCATTATTTCGTCAAATGAGGAATTGACTTCAATTTTTTTCCCAGAAAAACAGGAGTTCCTTAGAAAAATTCAAGCGCTGACATTAAGATAAAAATCACTCGTTTCGGGGGGAAAAAAATGTAACGGCCAAGTGTTCCAGAAACAAGTGATTTGTCCCTCGGAACGAGGAGTATTTTTCTCAAAGGAAAAAATTCCGTCGAGAAATACATGAAATACGGAGTCTTTCCGATTGAACGATTTAACAAGAGATGAGAAGGAAAAGGTGAGATGAATTTCTCAATTAACCATCACTCTCACTTCCGCCTCAGATAAAATTTCCTTTATTCACGATATAATTTTAATTCCAACCCGATGAAAAATACGAGCGGTGAAACGATTATCTCTCGAGCTATAATTCAAGGAGAACCATCACTGCCTCAAGTAAATTAACTTATAGTGGTTGAATTAATGATAATGCAAATTTGCCTATTTTTATTTTACCGTTAAAGAACCCCTCGCAAATTGGGGTCGAGTGAATTGATAAAGAATATTGTATTTTTCGAGTTGACGTGATTCAATTCAATTTTCCGAGGGATTTCAAAGTCTACTGGAGTTTATTGAAAATCAGGACACAACGGAGAAGAGGTATTAGACTCAATATTGACGGAGTTTGGATTGGTTCTTATAATGCATAGTTGAGGATTTTTCCGTCGGGAAATAAGTGCGAGACGGGGAAATACACTGACGGAAAAACACTGACATTTTATAGGCAGTTAAATTTGTTTTGAGAGGATAAGCTTAATTCCAAAATAACAATTGCATAATTAAAACCGTTCGTTCAATTTATTATTTATTGAATATCCCAGAAAATCAGGTTTTTTATGTTAAATAATAATTGATTTTTCATATTTAACCCGAGTCTCTCAATAAATAAAATATTCAGGGAAATTAAACGACAAAAATCAAATGATTCGTCAGTGAAGAATTATTGGAAATAGAAATATTTTCAATTCGATGTTTAAACAGTGATTTATCAATGGACAATTGCCGGCAAATCTCGAAGGTCTAGATGTGTACAATAACTACTGGGAAGAAGAGTAAATAACGGATTGACTTTGTCGAATAATCCTGAGGAAACCTACGAAGGCTAGGCCGTTAACAACCGTTTGTTATGTTAAACATGAGGTGAGATTTTGTAATAATCCTGGTAATAATTCCCTGTGGCAGCCATATTGCGGCTTGAATTTTAGATGTGTGCACATGTCAGTGGCACAACGTCCATTTCTTACCGGTCTTAAGACCGTCTTAAGAGGGTTAAGTACCGAGACTGTTGGGGCACAGTTGCCAACTACACTAAGCAGTGTAATTGGTTTTTCATCTCGGTTATTTTGCCTAGCTCCTGCTCGAGGGTCATTAGCGACAGCTCCACGTGTCTTTTTTTTTTCAACTTTCTTGCCTTAAACTATCTCCTGTTGTAACTTCGACTCGAGATGCGGTGTATGGAGTCCCTCGGGAACTCCATGGAAGAGACCATCCAACTATTACCATGACTTCTGTTTTTAAGTGTGGTTACTTGTAACTTTGGCTTCGAGGAATGGCGGAAGAAGCAGCTCGTTATGCCGTGTGGTGAAGCAAATTCAGCGCTGTTTCGATATTTCCTCTCGATTCGAATTTCCAGGCACTCGATTTTTTCGAGGACCCAAAAATCTTCGCTTCAGATGCAAGCCAGATGCAAGTCGTGAATGAAAACTTGACGGAATCTTGTGCTGAGAGATCCGCGAAAGCAGAAATAAAATTCACCAATACAATACAATACAATGCAACACCTGAAAAAAAGGAAAAACAAGACGATAAATTTCTTCCCCAAATTTTTTCAGGTGCGACTGTAAAACCTAAAACAATGATCAATCAATAACTGACAGAAGGCAAATTTGGTTCCATTAAAAATTCCGGTAATCCCGGAGAGTTTTGAAAGTCGTTTACCGACTCATACCAGAATGAAGGTACCCATTATCCCGCATTTCAGAGCATCAACGAGTGCTGGGGGAGTGGTTTGTGAAGTGCGATGGATAGGTGGTGAGAGGGGTGGGACAGGGGGTGGCAGGTAATTCATTCATATAAGATGAAAGCCCCGATGAAAGCGATAGAATCCAATTCCACACTCAAATATAACCACTCCGGGTTGTGATTCAAGTGCACTTTTCCTTTATTTGCATCCCTCTTTCACCTTTGGCATTTTTTGGTGCGAGGAGAGGGGGTGGAATAGTGGGTGGGAGGGGTAAAAAAAAAAATAACGGGTCACGAAATTCGAGGAAAACCTGTTGCCTCCGGTGTGTACATGTACTGTGGACTTGACGCGTGAATCCAACCTCTTTACCACCCACCCCCTTCACCCCGTTTTCACCCCTTTACCACCCCCTGAATCGTCACTATAGTACTGGCTTTCTCGCATTTCCAACGACATTCAATTCTGTCACTCCGCCACACGTATTCGACGTTCGTAAAATTGATTGCTTGTTAAAATTGGATTGAATACGAGACGACGGCGCAATTTTCGATTTAATTGTGGAGTTAGGAGAGAATCTCTCCGGAGTAGAGATATTACGGTTTTTAAAAAATGACGATTCATTGCCTGGAAACGACCAGGAGATGAGATTTGTTTTATTTTTCGAGTTTGCCAACTCGTTGTTCTACTTTTACAGGTGAAAATTGCATTTTCTACTCCCCCCGTCATTCGAATTCATACGGGGAAATCCGTTTGTTTGTTCGCGGATTGCTGATGAGGAGGAATTTATTTCGGGAATTCCAGTGGAATACGACGATTTTACGCGATACGTCGGGAAAAGCATTGATTCATGCAAGGGTCCATTTTTTTTCATATTCCGTATTTCTCCTTCGTAATTCGATAATAATAATAAAAAAATTCTAACTATTCAGAAAAAAATGGAGAATTCACATCATTGAATTTCTGAAAATTCATGGATAACTGAATTGAAAACGAATTTTTGGACTGATTGTCAGATTGTCAGAAAGATTAGGAAAAAAATGAGAATTACGGGTTGATGTTCTTAAATGGCTGAAAATCCCAGCAACACCTCGAATAGCTGCCATTCCATTCCTTCCGGGGTATTTCCGATGTTTTTCTGGTCCATTGGGGCCGTCCACCCCAGCTAAACCATTCATGAGAATGT